AGACTTGTCATCCCTACACCACCAACCCGCACTATATTACTGTCGGACTCCGTCCACCCTAATCATTATTAAAAGTAAAAAAAATAAATGAATAAAATAATAGGATAAGTATATATGATGCTTTCATTTTTGTAGTGGAGGTATCAAGGAATAGTTGAAAGTTGAAAATATAATAAAGTTGTTTTAAAAAAAGAAAAAGAAAAAGATTTAGATAAAGTCAAAGTGAGTTGTAATATGGGTCAGCACCCAATCATTCGCTTCGTCCCAAATTTCGTCAACAAAAGGTGAGGCCACTTTCCATATCCAAAATCACATCAACAACAAACAAACAAACAACAAGCCTTTGAATATTCGTCGACGTACCGATTCAATCATCATCGTCTTCATAATTTAATTTAATTCATCATCGTCTTCAACGTGATCGCCTTCATCGTCTTTACGAGATCCACAAATCTTTCCTCCTCTTCGTGCATACATGTATATACATTTCTTCATATCGCTTCAACTAATTATAATAATTTCAACTTCTTTTCTTCTTTCGAAAGATTTTCCATGTGGGGTTTGTCTCAAATCACACCAGATTTCAAGTCTATTTTGTCTTTTTCAATAATCGTTCATATGCGCGTCTTTTGTCTCGATTAGGAGACCATGTAATATGTTTAATGAATTAATTAATTAATGATGAATTCAAGGCTATTGGCCACCCGATCTGTATAACACGTTTCTCTCACTTTCTTTTTTGTGATTAAATTTGTCTTCCTTCTTCAATATCTTTGATTCTTATGATATTATATATATTATACATTTGTTTGCAGTGAATTTGAATTGGATGAATGACGAAGAAGATGGCGTCAGTTTAATTGTTCCTAAGGAATTTTGATTGTTTTTATGGGCAATACATGCCGTGGATCATTCGGAGGAAAAGGCGCTAAAAGCTTCAATCAACCTGAACATCGTTCCAGTATCAAACACGAATCTTCTTCCACCCAAGTTAACAAAAACTCAACAACGAAATCGAACCCACAACAACACACAACCCAAAACAAAGCTTCAAAGGATTCAACTCCGAAACCCCAAATTGACGACGACGACGACACCATGAATCGCACTAGTCAACCATTCTATGTCATCGGACATAAAACCGCAAACATCCGTGATCTTTACACTTTAGGTCAAAAACTAGGCCAGGGCCAATTTGGTACAACCTATTTATGCACCGAGCATTCCACTGGTAATAATTACGCCTGTAAATCCATTTCAAAGCGGAAATTGATTTCAAAAGAGGATGTGGAAGACGTAAGGAGGGAAATCCAAATCATGCATCATTTAGCAGGCCACAAAAACATCGTCACCATTAAAGGCGCATATGAAGATCCTTTATATGTTCATATTGTCATGGAGCTCTGTGGTGGTGGAGAACTTTTCGACAGAATCATTCAAAGGGGACATTACAGTGAACGAAAGGCAGCCGAATTGATCAGAATCATCGTTGGTGTCGTCCAGGCTTGCCATTCCCTCGGTGTTATGCATCGCGATTTAAAACCTGAAAATTTCTTGTTGGTTAACAAAGACGATGATTTCTCACTCAAAGCAATCGATTTTGGACTCTCCATTTTCTTCAAACCAGGTTAATTTTCATAAAGTTTTCATCTTTTTTCCTTTTTTCAAAATTTCTTCTGCTAATTTGGATTCGTATGTAGGTCAAATCTTCACAGATGTAGTTGGAAGCCCATATTATGTTGCCCCTGAGGTGTTATTGAAGCATTATGGTCCAGAAGCAGATGTATGGACAGCTGGCGTCATTCTTTACATTCTTTTAAGCGGTGTACCTCCCTTTTGGGCTGGTATGTTTTATAATTTATAAACTAACATTTTTTTATTATGGCTTGGGAAAATTACAAAAAAATAGCAACTTACTCTATTCTCTCTACCAAAATATGCAATGTACTTTGTGTTTGCTATTAGGTGTAAATAATTAACAAGATTTAATTATTTGTGTAGAAACACAACAGGGAATATTTGATGCGGTTTTGAAGGGTAATATAGACTTTGATTCAGACCCATGGCCACTTATATCTGAAAGTGCAAAAGATCTTATTAGAAAGATGTTATGTTCTCGCCCTACAAATCGATTAACTGCTCATAAAGTTCTTTGTATGTCCTTTTTTAACCTTTATGAATCATCTTTTTAGCTTTTTTTGTTGTATCTATTACTTGTTTTTTATAAACAATTTACAGGTCATCCATGGATATGTGAAAATGGTGTTGCACCAGATAGAGAACTGGATCCAGCAGTTCTTAGTCGTTTGAAGCAGTTTTCAGCCATGAATAAGTTAAAGAAGATGGCTTTAAGGGTATAGATATGTGATTTATGAATCTTGTTTTAGGATATTTTTATATGGAAAAGAAGATATTTGAGATTTTGTTGATTTGATTGTTGCAGGTTATAGCTGAGAGCTTGTCAGAAGAGGAGATTGCTGGTTTGAGGGAAATGTTTAAGGCAATGGATACTGATAATAGTGGGGCAATTACATTTGATGAATTAAAAGCCGGTTTAAAAAAGTTTGGTTCTACATTAAAGGATACAGAAATTCGAGACCTTATGGATGCGGTAAGACTATTATTCAATTTGGAGTAAATTATGTTTTTGGTCCCAAAAGTGTTTTTATTTTGTAATTTGGTCATTATTTGATGTTCTTGTAACGTTTTTTTATCTTTTTTCCAAGTAAATTGATTATATTTCTAGGACAAAAAACTTTGCAAGAATAGCTATAAATCAGGGACCAAAAATAGTCATTTAGTTGGATCAAGGACCAAAAACTTTACAAGAACCTCAAATAAGGAACAAAAATGCAAGATAAAACTGCAAAACGGCTATATTTAGGGACCAAAAATGTAAATTTTCGTAAATTTGTGTGAAGCTGTTTTTTTTTTGCCATTAAATGTTGTCTAGATAAATGGTGAATGATGTTGAAAAGATATTTGAAAAAGTAATGGCACAACAAATGAGGTCAAATTTGTAAAAAGTCAAAGATTTAATAAAAGCCTCAATGTTAAGTCAAAAAATCACTCATATAAATTAAAATTAAATGGTCATTTAGAGTGCGTTTGGTTGTGGAATATTTTCCATTTTTCCATGAAAATTTTCAACTGAAGATGAAAATTTGAAAACGCGTTTAGTTGATTCAATTTTCTAAAAAATTCCAAGAAAATGAAAATTTTATGTTTTCCCAATTGTATATAAATTAGAAAAGTGATTTTTACAGTTTCAAAACTTTTTCAAATTTCTAAAATGGAAAATAAAGGCTCCATAGGTTTCACGTTTCAACCAAACGCATTCTCTAAAATTTTCATTAAAAACTAAAAATAAAAACTCAAATCTATTTTCTGAAAACGTTTTCGAGAATGAAAACAATTTTCTATAACCAAAACGCACCCTTAGATTTCAGAAAATAAAGACTTTTTGCATGCAACATTTTATCCATGGAGACATCATTAAACAATCATTAAGTCATTTCCATATTAAGTCCATTAAGTAAAAAAGAAAGTATCTAAATCGTGTTAGTTTCCAGGCTGACGTGGACAATAGTGGGACAATCGACTATGGAGAATTTGTTGCGGCTACAATTCATTTGAACAAATTGGAACGTGAAGAACACCTTGTGGCTGCATTTCGGTACTTTGACAAAGATGAAAGTGGTTATATTACGTTTGATGAGCTTCAACAGGCGTGTATAGATCATAACATGACTGATATTCTTGTGGAAGATATCATTAAAGAAGTTGATCAAGATAATGTGAGTTCAAATATTTTCAATGTATTTTTGTAATTAAACGGTTTATATTTATGTGGGTTTTATTTTTTTATTTCAGGATGGGAGGATTGATTATGGGGAATTTGTGGCGATGATGACAAAAGGAAATGGAGGAATTGGAAGAAGAACGATGAGGAATAGTGTGAACATTAGCATGAGAGATTCGCCAAGAGCTGCCCGGGATTCGCCAAGGGCTGTCTGGGATTCACCGAGGGCTGCCCGGGATTCACCCCGAGCTGCCCGTGATTCACCCAGGGCTGCCCGCGATTCACCAAGGGCTTACCTCCAGTAATCGTTCCTTGTCGTTGAATTGAATGTATCTTGTCTATTTTTTTTTTATGGTTCATGTAGAAAAAATGATTTTATGAACAATGAAATGTTAACCGGCCAATAAGAAAGCGTTAGCTAGTATTTGGTATGTAATAATCACGTTTGAAATTGAATGGAACAAATATATATATATTTATAATTATATTGCTCCAAAGGTACAACATGAAATATAAATATGTTTTGTGTAATGTATTTAGAAACATACCATAGTTTCACTAAAATTTAATGTTATAGAATAGTATTTTTGTTTGTATTAATCAAAATTTGCTTTAATTAAGATTTTAATAAGGTACAACATATAATAATTTTAAATAATCTATTTCATTAACTTAACTTTGTGTGTAGTTGGTTCTTCATGGAAGAAAGACGGTGTTGGATGGTGGTAGGTGGTGGATAATGGTAAGGGTGTGTTCGGTTCTGAAATCAGAATAAACAAAAACCGGAAATGAGAAATTACTATAACTGCTGAAAATCGAACCGGTATAGAGGAACTGATTCTGTTTAGTTGTGGGTACAGGATCCTTAGGGATGTCATTGACATCTTAAACAATATGATTTATCAAATATGTGAGAATAAAAAGCAACTAAAACTGTAGGATACCAAAAATTGATTGCTTTCCCACGTCATAAAAGGCCTTTTAATACGATGAAACTAGAAGAATAATCTTGCCCATGATTAGATATCATATCTTAAAACCCATGATTAATGATTACGACAACTTTTTTGACCTTAATTTTGATTTTAAAGGGTGACAACGAAGTATGTGATGTCGACCCACATGTATTGGTATTATTTTCGTTCGACTTATATGCATCAGTTTTATACATTTATATAGTCTCTGAAAAAAAAAAAAGTAATAATAATAATAATAAATAAATAAATAAAAACAAATAGAATATGATTGGCATTTGCATCGTCCACCGACACCTCCAAAAATTCGGAGGAATTATACTTATAAAAAAACATTTATTAATATGATTAAATCGTTTTAAATCCGATCATATATAAATAGAAAGTAACATGGGTTTGCTTCTATTTGGTCAAAAGGGCTTCTTTTCATCCCTTCCAATAGATTCTTCCCTGCTCTCTCTGTAAATTCCTTCTGTAGCAGATATTTTATATATTTAGTCATGATAAAAAAAGATTCCAAGGACAGAAGACAAGTATTGTTCAATCACATATCTTTTAACAATTTAATGGATGGAAGTAAGCTGATCTTACAACACATTTCTATAGATTTTAATGGATGCTTGCTTCTTACATGTAATGATGTAATGGAATAAAAAAAGAACAAAAAATTACAGAAACATAACAAAGCTGAGAAACCCATATCAAGGAATCAAAACTCAAAAGTATTACAAATATTATGAATGTTTATAAGAATTCAGTGGCAAAAATGAAAAATCATCCGCCGACATCGGGTTTTTGCTGCCGAACGGACGGTAGTCACCGGCGAAATGGTGTATTACTTGTCTTATGTTTATAATCGCTCTCTAATTTACAGCAAGTATAGGAATAATCGATACATCAAGTGAACATGTAGCTGGAAAATGGATTCTGATTTTCAACTAACCTTTGGTGCTATGCTCAAATGGCGGAACTGTAGGAATTTGAACGGATGGTCTGAGGAAGTCCGGCTTGATCAGATCCGACGAGCTTTCGGATCTCGGATCTGAACTTGTAGAGGATGTGTCTCAAGCTACCTTTGTTATGGCAACCGAGAACGGAGGTTTCTTCTTGATTCATCTCCAGATCCTGTGCGAATACTGGTTTTCTGGAAAGGATCCATCCCCAGCCACGATCCCACCAGGTCTTGATGGAGGTAGACGCCGATTCCCCCATTGAAGACACCGATTTGGAGCTGCGCAACGCCCACGCGGTAGTGTCTGACATCGTCGGCGGTTGGATCTGGAATGTCATAGAGGAGATCCTTCGGCGCATTCCGGCTCCGGCTGTTGCTGGTGGTGGGTCCTGTGTGGTGTTATGAGAAACTGGGAGAGATTTCTCCTTGTGGAAGCTCTGCAACATAGAGGTCATGGTGTTGATGAATGGGAACGAATCAGAGGGTGATGGGAGTTTGAAGCAGAGATGCACCAGGTCCAGGTGAATGTGAAGGTGAATTGAAGTAGAGAAAGGTTGTGGGATCCATCCATCACATTCTCATACCAAACATAATACATACATATATGCAAGTCTGTATTTGCATGTGATAGGTGGAAATATAAGAAACTTCATCCAACATTTAAAATACTTAGCGCATATGTATATAGAGTAAATTACAATATGTATATGTTAGATGTTTAATTGATTAAGACCATATGGTTTATATTCCATTATACAAATTATCACTTATGTATCATTTGATATGATTTGTTTATAGGACGAAACATTAACTAAACTTGGTTTAATCATTTAAAAATGCTGAACCAAATGAAACCGATCATAAAACAAAGTGGTTCATTTAGTTTGACAATTTAGGACTATAATGGATGTGAACTTTTTATACGTAAAGAAATACATATTGATATGTTTTTACTGAGTTTGGTAAGATATTAAGTTTGACTCGATCAGATTGTGACTGTTTAATACCATAGTTAAAATTTAAAAACATGTGACTCGGTCCTAGCTCATTTAATATGTCTTTTATTCATTCATATTTATGGTTATGTCTGGTGTTGATTTAATCAATTCTAACTCAATTAATAACTATCAACTAACCCTAGTTATTGTTTGGGTTTTCTAATATGTGTTTAAGGGTATATATATAAAAAAACATTAATTAAATGTGAAACATTTTTTTTTGAATGGCATGAATTATATTAGTTATAGTAAATATTCTTCATAATTAATGCATTTCATATTTTTCAATAACAAATAACTTTTATAATTAATATATTTTATATTTAATTATGATTTTATATTTTTCAATAACAAATATCTTTTATAATTAATATATTTTATATTTAATTATGATAAGATTTTTCATAATTAATATTTTTTATATACATCCTTATCACACTTATTAAAAAAATCTTGTGTTTTAATAAAGTATAATAAAAGACCATGGGAAATAGCCTAACAAAACGACTTGATTTCAGAATTTTCAAACCAAATGATCAAATTGAAACTCTTTGGAGAAATTAGCCGAACTACTTTGACTCAGTTGAGCCCACTTACTCAGTTTGGGCTTATCAAAAGGACCTCCACTTAAACCCAACCATGGTTTCCTTTAACCCGAGACTAAGGTCGTCTAGTCAATTGTCATGCATGCTCTCTCATTAAGCAAAACAGCAAACCATCGAGAAACAAAGTTGACGCTCCGTCGCTCTCCGATACCAGAACCACCGCCAAAATCCTCCACAGACTGAATCCAATTGAGAGTAAGAAAACCGAGTGTCGGTTTTATCCATGGAAGTTGAGTGTATGAGAGCTTGCATGAGAAAGCTCGCAATTTGGTACACCCCCAATTTCAAGCCTATCACTAATCACGATGAGCTTGATCGCATCATGTCTACCCTCGGTTTTCTCTCTCTACCACCAATTTCCACCACTACCGCCTCAACCTCCGCCTGGAAAGAGTACACCTTTTCTGCCGCCGGAATTTTTCTTTCCAAATCCCCCTCTCCGCCGCGCCCTCGCCTTCCATATCCCAGAATTGACGGCTTACATGTCAACACCTACCACGCGTTTTTGGATTCCGTCAATTTTTACCTCCGTATGCACAACATATCTGATATTTTCCATATTCGGTACGTTTCTCTTTCCTTCAATTGCTTTTGATTCCTAATTTCCTCCATTCATGTACAGTGTTCGTTTACTCCAGTTACTAATTATTGTTTGTGGTAAACTTTGACCCAAAAAAACCCATTACCAATTTACAATTTTTCCTTCAAAAGGTACTAGCCTTGAACCAAAGCATAATCAATATGAATTAACTTGTCTTTGTTTCTTCTCTGACAATCAATCACAAAAGGAATCCATAAATCTATTGCATTTTCTCCTTTAGAGTAAATCTGCGTGACTCCATTTGGTCAAAATTGATTTGATTATGGTTGTTTCTCAGGGGAATGCCATTGCACCATGTCCATGACAGAAACCAGAAATGGTCGAGAATGGTTGGAGATGATTTGGTTTATGTGTACAGAGAGGGAACCATGGAGTTGTCACCAACAAACAAAAATGTTGTCCAAAACAAGGATCAGAATCCAGTTTTGTGCATTGTTCCATGGACTAACATCAATGACAAGATGTTATAGTGGTAGAAAAGTAGATACTTCACCTTTGTTTAGATGAATATATGCACTAAAAAAACAATCAAACTAGTTCTTTCTATGTTCTTGTTGATATGGGGTAGTAGTATTAGATCATGACTTATGAGAATAGGAGCTTTTGATGGATCAGTAGATATGCTTGCTTTTGATTTATGTTTGTTTTAAAAAAGCATGTGAACTAAACTAATGCACATTCATTTTTATCTTTGTTAGGCTTTTTTTTATTTAGGCAACATAAAGAGTTGCATTTATATCAGAAGCACTTTTTTTATAGTTTACTGTCAAGAACTGAAAATGAAAGAGAACATATTTGTTTAATTGCTAATGCATTTTTTTTTTGCTTATATCCATGTTTGGGTTCTATGATTTATTTTAGTTCTTACCCCAATTATGTTCCATTATTCTGAGATGTTATATTTCACAATTGTGAAAACTAGATCAAACTACATCAACTAATATTACGATTCAGGTCATCCTTTTATATTTGTTGTGGCCAAGTCAATAACTTTTTCCATAGGTACTAAATCCTTATATATTATTGCAATATCGTTAGGTTTTCAATTTTTCCTTATTAGATTTTGCAATTACCTCCACATCACAACAATGTTAACTTTCTTTCCAAAATGGTCCCCGGTGACACATCAACAACTATTTATACTCTGAATTATTTATAATTAATAAAAAATAACACAAATATAGTAATTCATGATATATATATATATATATATATATATATATATATATATATATATATATATATACAAAAAAATTATAATCTGGAAGTTAGTTTAATTATTATTAAATATTTTATTAATATATAAATATATTTATCTAAGATTATATTAATATAATAAAATAAATAAATTAATAAGTTAATATAATATCTAAAATTGTAAATTCTAAATGATAGTTTGATGTTTATTTAGGTCCAAGATGTACACACTTGGCAATTGGCTTTGACATTGCAAACATTCTTACAGAATTTGAAAGAGAAGAATGATGGTTGGACTTGGATGTATGAAGTTTGCAAATCCGGGCTTTGCTTTGAAAGCCCAATGTTATAGTCTTTCTAACTTGTTAATTCGAACAATCGAGTTGACTCTCAGACATGTAGTATGATATTTAAAACAAAATTAGTAGTATATCATTGGCGTAAATGACATCTTATAGTCTCCTTCACCCATCTAAAGATTCAATCCAAGGCTCATTTCAAACGAAATCATCCCCAAATTGGAGTTGTGAACTTTTATATCAGAATGAGAATCACTTCACTTGTATGTTAAATATAATACAATTTTTTTATTAATCAAATTTGGTTTATGGATCAAGTAAAACAACATTAGAATTTAGATGTACCATACTAATTGTGGTCTCCAACTTTTGCGTTTGGTGACAAGACAAGAAGATTACCACCATCACCATCAATATCAATTATTCTCCTCCACTCTTTTATGCCTTTGCTTTTAACCAAATTATCCTCATTTAGTATTAGAAAAGCACCCATGAGCCATATGTAATATAGATAAATATGATACTTTAATATACGAAATTTCGTAATTCTTTTAAATCCGCCTATCTTCATTTTGATAGGAATAAGATGCTAGTAAGCATTAAACTTGCCATGAATTAAAATAATATATATCTTCAATTGATAATATACGGCAAAACAAATTAATAATAAAACATATTTCAACTTTATATTTATCTTTAACTAACTAAAGTATTAAACAAAATATCAACATATGTTATTTCTATCTTATGACATTTGACTTGGCCAGCCATCTCTGCATACTTTTCCTTTTCATCTTCTTACCTTTTGTATTTGATTTATTTTTTTTAATTATATTTTGTTTATATATTTGCAAACATAAAAAACAAAATACAAATAATGACAAATAACTTCTTTTATAAAGCAAGTAAGTTTTCTGAGCTTAACTCTAAAACATCAGTTTTTTTGTTAATTATTGTATAAACATGAGTCTGTAAGGAAGAAAATAATACTAGTATTTGCGAATTGTTGTATTTATGGTGTTAAGCAAGTGTTTGTTTGTGGGTCTATGAGTATGAAGCAAGCCCACCAAAAGTCAAAGTTTTGAATTAAGCCTCACTAAAATACTAAATAGTAAATACAGTACTCAGAACATGAACATGAACTGCACAAAAAGTAAACATATCTTCTACCACTAAAACCTTGTCAACAATTATCTGCATATCTATTCATTCTACACCTCTGACTGCTCAAATGGCACTCTCACAAACAACTGACCATGCAATGTCACCACAGCCGACGTTTGATGAGGATCAATCCTTGAAGGTAAACTCACAACCTACATACATATAATCATTTACTATCAAAACTCAAAATGTTATTTACTTTTTAACTCTTTCTACATTTTCTAGCCAACATTTACATAGTTAGTGTGAGTGAGAATCAAATTCATCCGACACCTGTCATTTGTAGGGTAGGGGCCCACCGGTACCACCCTTTCTTTTCACAGTCGTCGGATGAATTTGATCCAAGGGTTGCGATGGAGTTTCTTGGTTCCCTCACATCACATTATAATATTATATTATATTATAGAGGTGGTTAATAAAATTGTTACCTTTTTAAAAGGAGAAACGCCCCAAGGGTTGTCCAGCTGTTCTGGTTGACCGGATATAACTAACCGCCCAGCTGGATCTGACTGTACACGCACCTAAATCCCCAAACCAAAAATAAAAAAAAAATTTACATTTTCTTTCTGTTATCACACAAAATATATGCTCAACAGAACACAAACACAAGAGCTGTTACCTCTTCACGCAAAAGCCCAGGAACCAAAGCATACACCTCAAAGCAATCCTTCTGTAGAGAGCTAATTTGTCAATTATAAAATATATATAATATAAATAAGAAATATATAGAAACAAACTTACAGTTCTCTGAACATTGATTTTCACCCAATCAGCAGGCGGGCCCACATCCACAACCATGGAGTCCAAACTAAGAGAGAGAGAGATTCATAATCATGTGTAAGTCGATGCAAATTCATGTAACAAGATTAATTAACAACTAAAAAAAGAAAGATCTCAACTGTGGTTTTGACGCTTTCATGCGTGCAACTTTGACCGCCCGCTCAACTGAAGATGGTTTTTTACGCTTCAACAGACCTAATTAGTCAATGCAAAAAGTCCAGTCAAAGGGCAGTATAGACATTTAATGAAAAATGTACCCATAGTTGTTCATGTTACAACTTAAAATGGAAAATGTACCAATGGTTTGTTTCTCACGCTTTATTGCCGTGCTTGGAGTCTTATCCTACAAATACCATGACATAAAATTAGATTATGTATTTTGAGTTTGATTAAAAATAAAAAAATAAATAAATAAAAATACCTTAATGATGGGATCCCCAACCTCGCCATTACCAAGAAGACGCTGTGAATGCCAACCTTGCATGGCTCGTGCTGCTGCATCTCGCCTTGCCCTTCCTGATCCAGGAGTTTGACTTTGACTTGTCTACATACAAACAAATCAACTTCATCTTTTGATGTAATTAAGGAACAATAAATACATACAAAAATACTAAACAATTAATACCTACCTGTTTTGCACCAGAAGGAGGTTCTGTAGAAGCAGCATCTGTGAATGGCAGCTCTCCATTGCTCATTTTATACTTCTCATATTCAAGCAATGCCTGCAAAAAAATAAAATTTTTTTTGTCAGAAATTGGATAATGAAAAATATTAATAAAGTAATGCCTTGATTTTTTTAATCTTAAACATTTAAATTAAGAAAGTAAAGTACCTTTTCATAAAAACAGCGGAATGTCCACGAGACAGTTGTACAAGTCCTGTTCACAATCAATCAATCATAAGTCTACTGTCTTCAAATAATAAACTTATTCAACTAATCAAAGACTAAAACGAGCAATTTAAAGTTTACATTGTTCAATAATATAGTATAGTTGTGGTTTCCAGGGATGCTTTTAGTAATCCAATTTGTAAGCTTTCTTTTAGGATTAGGAGTTGCTCTTTTAATCTTTCTAGAATTGGTTAAGCTAACCTAGGTTGTTTCTTGCTTCTATACTATTATCCTGAAAAACTACTCTTTCACAAACTACATTGTTTCTTGATTCCAAATTATGATCCTTTGGATTTTGGTTCTATTTCATCTCTTATACATTGCCATTCATCACTGGGAAATGTGTACATGCAAACATATATCACACACTGAGTGCATACATAAAACTAGATTATAATTTGATTCATACTGATACAAAACGAGGTTGTTTGATAAGACTATGTGAATTCATATAAGGTGAATAAACCAACCAACAAAAATCATTTCATGCTTACTTTGGGGGTTTAAATGATTCTCCCACTTGTCGCCACACCTTGCATGAGGTCACCTACAATCAAACAAACAAGTAAATACATATGTGATTGAGATCTTCATATCATGCTTTAAAATAATCAGACATGCTAGTGCCTTAGAATCATGGAAATTCATGTCAAAACAATTAGATTTTTCAAAGTCTACTTTGATGGATACAAAGATTATCCAGGAAAATAAAGTGTTCTTAGATGAAAGATAAGCATAGCCAAAGTTAACTCAATATGAAAACTTAGAAGAAGCTTGTAACAGACCAAACATGGATGTTGCTTATTAAGGTTCACTTTGTTGGATCATTTCCTTAGAAGCTCTACAACATTAGGAGATAAAGGAATAACTATCCACCTAAAAACCAATTTACACAGTCTTCTAGCATGTCTAGGTCAAAGCAATACCAGGGCATTCCTTAGGTACTCATGTTATAAAACAGGTATCACTTAAAACAGAAAAAGAACTACACTAAGTAAGAGATTTGTAAGACCAAGAAAACCTGTTCATAGCCACCAAGTCTGATCACTGATCTCCATAACCTGAAATAAACAAAGGTTAGAACAAAACTCAACAAACACTGCATTATCAAGATAACAAGTGGAAGGAGGGTCTCACTTGAGGCAATTTAATGGCTCTCCATAAAACCTTGGAGGCTTGAACTCCAAACACCTCTCTTTATGGAAAATTTCAAGCTCCTTCATGAATGCCGCTTGGTCCTCTTCTGTACCAGATTCATCTTCAAGAGAAGAATTCGGATCCAAGAGGAATGACTTGTGGTTTTGTAGGGTCTTGAATTCAGCCCCCTCCTCCTCCTCTACAACTGCCAACGCCAGTTGTGGCCGCTCCACCCCTGTGACACTGTTTAATTCCGCCTCGTCATCATCCTCTACCGCCTCTTCTTCCCTATTTTCCATTTCCGGTGGGAGCAACTCCGACCTCGATCTTAGTGACTGATAATCCCTCGGTGTTTAGCTTTTCCTCTTTCACGTCTGGTGAAAACTCTGAATCTGTCTTGGTGACCAGTGATCTCTCGGGGTTTAGTTGATGTTGTTCCTCCTCTGGTTCATCGTCTTTGTTCTTGCCATTTTCACCACCACTGCCTGTCGGCGAAGGTGATGGAGATGGAATATGGTCTTCTTCGCCATTGTCTACTTGCTCCTGTTTCTCAACTGCTACTTCTGTGTCTAGAGACTTGACATCCTCTTTTGAGCCTATTACAACCGAGTCCGACTGGTTGGCTATGCCGTCGATTTCACTCGTCTTATCATCATGTTCTGCATTATTCGCATCATCTGGGATTTCAACAGCGACATCACCTAAGTCTCTTTTCATCTGACCTGTTGTCGTCTGTTGATTTCAACGCATTATCATTAGGTTTGTCTTGCTCCTGGTCTTCTTCCAACACCATTTCGTCTTCTCGTCAGTAGTAATCAGCGATGTTTGGCGAGGAATCAGCTATCGTAAATTGGGTATCGTTCTCCCCTGTTGCTAACCCTAGAAAATTTCCAAAATCTCTCTTGTTTCTCTCCCTCCCAAACTCAAGTTTGAGAGCCAGATTTATTAGCTGGTAAATGCCAGATGGTAACTGAGCGAACCGAACATACACCCAATTACCCAAATACATTTTTTAGAGTAAATTACATAAATAGACCCTGCTATTGACTAAAAATTACAAACTTAGTCCAACTGTTTTTTATCTTAGACTAGTCTTTGAAGTTTGAATTTTGTTAAGGTTTTGGGCCCGGATCATATAAATTGAATTTTATGTCCTTGTGTAATCTCTTTTTATCATTTTGTTACTTATTTATTCCTTATTCCTTCTTATTTGTTTTAGGGGGTGTTTGGGATTCTTTTTTGAGCTTAAAAGTTTTTTTTTTATAAAAGTTCTTTTTGAGTTTAACTTTTGAGAAGATAAAAGCCAAAAGTTGTTTTTAAAAAGTATTTGAGTTGCATTTCTTGACTTTTGATTGTAATTTAATTTTAAAAGGCTAAAAGTCACAAAAGTCACACGTTCGTGACTTTTGAAAACCCATCTATTGTTTCTTTACAAAAGTTATTTTGAAAAAAACTTTTATATCTCCCAAACATCTTTTTTAACTTTTTAGAAAAGTTAAAAACCAAAAGTCATCTCAAAAGTAATCTCAAACACCCGCTTAGTATCTTTTACTAGATTTTAAATAATATTTGTTCATTATGTGGGACGGATCCCGCACCAGTCCCAATCGCACCTATTAATCTGTTAGAGTGATGGGTATGGAACCGTTTTGCCTCGTTATTGTCGAGCTGGAAGTAGAGGTGGGCATATGTCGGTCCTGGACCAGTCCTAAGTCGGCCCCGAGACAGACCAGTCTGGGATCGGTGTCGATCTTTTTTCGGTCTTGTCTTTTTTTAGGAGCGGTCTTTTCTCGGATCGGTTTATTTTTGGGTCGGTCTCGTTCTAGACCAGTCTGGTATCGTAGTCTTTCCATTCACTTTATTTGGTACGGATTACGGTTTTTTCGATTTTCCGGTTTCAGTTTTTCGTGGAATGAAA